ATTTTCAAGTTATGATGCATTTATTGGGATGTGACTCCATCGTAAGTTGAGGAACATCTGTAAAATAAATCCGAATGTATATAGTAAGAAACAAACAGGCCAGCTGTGGTGGCTCACGCCTGCTGTAATCCCAGCCCTTTTGGAGGCTGAGGCGGGAGGATCCCTTGAGGCCAGGAGTTCGAGCCAGCCTGAGCAACATAGCAAGACTCTGTCTCTATTTAAAAAATTAAAAAGTTAATGAAGGGTGGTGGCATGTGTCTGTAGACCTAGCTACTCAGGAGGCTGAGGCACGAGGATCCTTTGAGCCCAGGAGTTTGAGGCTGCAGTGAGCTATGATTGCACCACTGCACTCCAGCCTGGGAGACACAGTGAGACTCGGCCTCTAATAATAAATAAAAAAATAAATAACAAATGTATGTGAAGGCGTCATGCCTAGGACATAATAAGCCTTTTAAATGTTTTTCTTATCTTCTTCCTTCTTCATAGTCATCACAGCAATGAAAGTTTACAAATTTCTCTTTTTATGTTTTGAAGACATAATACTTAAGGAGACCCAATTCACAAGTCATGCGATTTTCAGCAGGGTGAGTCCAGCCTCACTAGGAGGGCCTGAGTTTGTCTTTAGTACATTTAAAGCAGGAGTGATCTAGAAAAGCATTTCTCCAAGTAAGGGTTTCAGGATCCTTGAAGTTGGCTATGACACGTATTTGGGTGAGGTTATCTGCCATACAAAATGAAAATGAGAGAGGGATGAGGAGAGGTCTAAATCAGACACCAACGGTGCACAGGCTGTGCTGGGCACTGCGAAGTGATGATCTCACAGAATGCAGCCACTTCTGAGTCGTGCAGCAGCATCTATACTTCGGTCACTCCCCTCTTCCGTCTCCCACTTCCCCCATCAGACTTCTTAGCTGAGTTCTCCTCCTCACCCCCACTATACAGAGCCCCAGGTGCTCTTGACATTTCAACTTGGATGTCTAATAGACATCTTTTATTTACATGCCCAGAAAATGAACTCTTAACTTCCCTCTGTCCCAGCTTGTACTGGAGTCTTCCCTATGCCAAATCCCTGCTTCGAGTTGCCTTGGCCAAAAAACTGAGACTCACTTTTTACTCCTCTGTTTCTTTCAAACCCCACCCTTACCTCATCAGCAAGTTCTCCTGGTTACCTTCAAAATATAACCTCTTTCCACCACCTGTGCTGCCATCATTCTAGTTCAAGCCACCACCGTCTCTCACCTATGTTACCAAGATGACTCCTTCATTATTCTACCTGTTTTCATCCTGGTCCCCTAAAGTCTATCTTCCGCTTAGCAGCCAGCGTAATGCTTTGAAATGTAAGGCAGATGGATCATTCCTCTTGTTGAAACCCTCCTATGGCTCCACATATCAAGTAGCGCCAAACCCAAAGCCCTTGCGGTGGCTCTGAGGCCCTCCCCGATCTGTGGTCTCACTAACATCACCCCTACCACCCGCTCCGTTACAGCCCTCTCTCCTCACTAGGATGTAACAGCCTCTGGAGAGAGAGACTTCGTTCATGTTCATCTCCTCAGCACTCAGCTATGTGTGGCGAACAGCAGGTCTCAGATGCTCATGGAATGGACGAACTAGTGCATGATACTCTCCACAGCAACTCTATGAGGTCTTCTTGTTCCCATTTTATAGATGCAGACGGTGAGGTGCAAGGGAAAAAGGACATTAACTGCCTGCAATCACACGACTGGTAACAAAAGGATGGGGCTTGTACCCAGTGCAGCAGGAACCCCTAGCCTGCACCTTCCAGCCTTCCAGAGCAACAAGCTTCCACATTCTGGAAAATGGCTGCTTCCTTGGCGTGAATGGGTAAGAATGAGGTTGGGATGCCAGTGTTCATGGACTCCAAGGTTAAGCAAGGAAGACACCAAGAACTTCCTGGTCACAGCCACAACCCTGACCGGATGTGGATCTCTCTCTAGTGCTGGTTCCACCGTCAGCAGAGTTACCCGATTACCTATGAATTCTGCAGAATCCAATTACCTTCTTCCTTTGTTTCTCCAATGAACAACATAAAAATCAATGGAGTCAGGCCGTGGAAGGTTGTGGACTGAGCTTTCCACCTCGGAGCAGCACAGTCTGATCATAATACTGAGGGCTTGGCAAAGCGATGCCCAACTCGATTTTAAAATATATCATCCATCAAAGTACAAAACTTACTTCAGGGATGCAGAGGGCATTGTTTCGGAGGATAGTAAAATAGCAGGTGAGTTTTTTAAAAAAACATGA